CTCTCCCTTTCTTTCCTGGTTCTAACAATAACACTCACACTGGACAAATCTTTGAAAAAGAAGCCATGATTATAACTCTAAGAAATTGTAAAATGCACATATGTGAGCATCATTATTGCATTAGAAGCTGCCAAGCTGGTAAGAAGTAAAGAAGTATTTAAAAGGTCGAAACTTGGTTCGCCAGAGTCTGTAGTGTGAACACATGTGCTTATATCAACCACGCAGGTGCTCTCAAAAGTGGGAAGTCAGCCAAGCCAGGCAGGAGGAATAACTTTTCACAGGAAGCCTCCTCTGGACATTTTGAAATCTCAGGCACTAGCCTGGGAAGATATGAACTCTTCTGCCGACTGCGCTGGGGTGGAGGGTGAGGTAGTGGCCCTCCTCAGATCCACACTCTGGGGTAGCTTGAACTCCAGCATAGAACACCTTGCCGAGATGTCCCAGGAGAAATGGCCGTGGCTGATCTAAGGAACACTGCATTCACCACTGGTCCCTGCACAGACACCTCGGGTGCCTGGTGGTTTTCCTGAAGGTGCAGTAAACATCTTAGCTCTTTGTAGCATCTGAAGTTGCACAGGAAGCAGCTAAGGCTTGCACAGGGCTGTATCACTTGTCATTTGCCCCCTTTTCGTCTTTGTGTTGGCATCTAGAGAGGAGAAGAAGAGGGTCACCTGAAAACCCAAACATCATTAACAGAACAGAAAAGCTTGGCTGGGAGCTTGGATACTGAGAAGTAACAGTGGTGTTTCCTTGGAGATCCCCCCCTCCCAGCTTGACCATCTCATCTTGAGATAAAGCCAGTCAGCTATGAAGATATTCTCCCTCCAGTGTCAACTACAAATGAATTTCTAAAACACAATACAATATTCCTATCACTAGTGGAATTGATACCACCACTGTGGGAAAAGAAGAGGAAACACAAGAAATGCAGGCAAACATGACTCTAAAATGAGTAATTCCTAAGTGATTTCAGCTTTGCTTTTCTTACTCCCTTTTCCCTTTAAAAAAATATTTTTCAAGTATGAGCCTTACATACACCTGGCTGTCTAGCAAAATAGATAGGCATAGACTTGCAGGGAGAAGTAGCAGTCACTAATATACCTAAAGAATGTAACTGTGCATGTGTAACAGCTGTAAACTGGCATCTCACTGAGTGGAAGACTACCAAGAATTTATTTCGAAGCTATGTTACACATGGCCGTGTAACATAAAGGTAGCAAGGCTTTCCTTCACTTCTCCCCTCTCCAGAACTCTGTTCTGTCCCCACTTGGCTATTTCCATAGTCCCCCACCACCTGATAGGCTGTTTGCCTGCCCACCCTGAAATGGAAACTTCCCCGGGGCATTTTTTTTTTTTGTCTGCCACACTGTCTGCTTCGTATTTGGTACCCAGAACCATGTTTGACACACAGTAGGTACTCAAACATGTCCTTAAGGAGTAATAGAATCTAAGTTTGTTCCTTAGTTAACTTTGTAAAAACTTTCAACACTCTTGATTTTATATGTCTATGAAGAGCTCTGATTCTTAATGCCTTCTGCCCTTTCCTTTTGATTAACAAATTAACACTTCTTAACAAAGTACAGTAAATCCTAGAAAGCTGACAGTACATCTGTTACACGAAACTTTATAGTCCAGCTTGGGGCTGCTGAGGAAAAACTGACCTGTAGAACTTATTAAGGACAAAGCTAGAAGATAAAGCAGAATATGTTCACTTTTTCATTTCTTATTTTCTATTATTAAAAATTTGTAACTTCATTATTTAAAAAAAGCTACTTTAGGATAAATGGCTATTGTGTAGCTATTCCTCTGAACTGAAACAAGTCTGTTGCATGATATCTTGTCTGTGTTCTGACCAATAAAGCATGCCTGGAGATCAGAGGGCAGAGACAGTTAACCACAGAGCCAGGCAGTGGTGGCACACATCTTTGATCCCAGCACATGGGAGGCTCATGCCTTTAATCCCAGTAACAGGGAGGTGCTGACAGGAATATAAGTCGGTTGGAGACAGGATCTCCCACTCAGTTTGAGGACTCATAGAGGTAAGAACTCTCTAGTGGCTGCTGTGCTGCTACTCTGATCTTTCAGTTTTCACCCTCGATATCTGACTCTGGGTTTCTATTATTAAGACTAATTAGGATCTCCCTTCACACGTTTTTCTGGAGGAGAGTTTAAAAAGACTCAGGAAGCAAACAAAACTCACAAATCTCAGGAAGTCCCTAAAATTTAGAAGATTCACAAGGCAACGGGAAAAGTTACAGAAACTATTGCTATAGTTGCTACTGCTGGGGTGAAGGACCTGCATTTTTCCAGGGAGCTCCAGAATGCAGCTGTTTTGAGTGGTCACTCATGTTGGGTGGGCTGTTTCATGATGTAGCTGCCTTCGAGTCATCCGTGGTCCTGTAAGGACTCCCCCACTCACAGTTCTGTAAGTAAGCCCTAAAACTCACTGCTTTACAAGGCTATCCATGAGTAGAGTCATCTTTAGCTTGTTGGTGGAGCCCTGTCTAGTGTGAATTGCTAGTATCTCCTCAGAGAAAGCCACGCAACAATGGCTGTGCTGGATTGTTTTATTTATTTATGTTTTCCTGTCAGCTTACCACATGCTGGGGCTATCTGGGAAGAAGCAACTTCAATTTTCTCTTCAGAGTGGTCAGTAGGCAAGTCTGTGGGAATTTTTTTGATTAATGGTTGATGTGGGAAAACCCAGCCCACTGAGGCTTGTGCTACCCCTGGGAAAGTGGTCCTGGGGTGTATAAGGAAGCAGGCTGAGTAAGCCACAGAGTGAAAGCCAGTAAGCACTTGTGGTCTTTATTTCTGTTACAGCCTTGAGTTCCTGCCCTGACTTCTTTTTAGGATGGACTAGAAGCTGTAAGATGAAATAAACTTTCCTCAAGTTGCTCTTGGTCCTGCTGTTCATCGAAGTAATAGAAAATGAGTGGCACAGTGGCTATAAGCTTTTCAGAGAATGGTGTAAGAACCTTAAGGAAGCCAGAAGAAAAAGCTTGCATTTCCAAAAAGGAAGAATGTAAGTCCTGCTACAGACAGTCTGTATCGCCTCACTTTGGGCACCTGTAAAACAGGGGCAGTATCTCTCTTTGGATGGTTGTAAAGATTAATTTGAAAAATAGTGTGTAATTGCTATGGAAACTGTAGAGTCCTACTACACATAGCTAGGAAACCTTTGGTCCAGTCTGATACCCCAAAGAGTACATAAATCTGAGGAGTGTGTAAATCTCAGTACATAAGAAGGTATAAAAATGGAATCCTTCCAATGATTCAGACAAATCAGGTCTTGCAAGCGTTTGAGGGAATGTCCTTCTGCTGTGTCCCCAGAGCTGCACGTTGCTTTCAGAAAAGGTTTTGTAGCAGGGTATGCTCACAATGTGTTTTTAGGTTAGTGCTGGGGGAAGGAAGGTTTGGGGAAAAACATGGTATAAGATGTCTAGTCAAGCTGGGCCATCTTTACAAATAGAGGAAGACAGTCAATCCCTAAGCTGTAAGAAGGGGCTATCTTTTGTGCTGGGTGAGCAGACACTATCTGAGATACAGCAGCAGCCTGGGGAAGGGATGTTGGGTGGGGTGGAGAGTCTGGAGTCAGAGGCACTAAGGTCACATTCTGCTGTTATTTATTAGCTGTGTGACCTTGGGCAAACAAGGTGACCCTGCCCCTTCAACTGTAAAATGGAAGAAATGATGGTGATTCCCAGGATGCACTGCAGCAAACTGCACAACAGAGGTTGATGGAAAAGAACAGTTCCCCTGGACATTAGCCTTTTACCTATGGAGAATTGCCTGTGAGTTTAGGGCCATAATGTAAACCTCAAAAGATGAATGAATCTCATGGCACACACCTATAATCCCGGCACCCAGAAAGTGGAGGCAGAGGAATGAGGAGTTCAAGGCTAGCCTTGGCTACGTGGTCAGTTTGAGGACAACCTGGGCAACAAAAGACCCTGTCTCAAACAGCAAAGACAAGTAAGAAGATGAAAGAGCTGGGGGAAATTTGATTTGTGATAAGACTGGACATAAAAGGAAAGAGTCTTGGCTAGCTACCAAGTACCACTCCTTTAACAGTCTCTCGTTGATGTGCTGAACATCTCACTACTGTATACATTCTGCCTAGGACCATGCAGTGCACAGATCCTGCTCCTGAGAGAGGGCCTCCACAGGGCAAAGCAGTGAGCATCATTAAGGCAAGACAGAAGAATAGGAAACAGCAACCCAAATGAGAAAGGAAAACAGCCATAGCTCTCTGGATCCTGTTTGAGCCTCTCATGGGCTGCAAGTCAAGAATTTAACACGGCTAGCCAAAACCCAACAAAAAACACATGAAGACTACCTACACAGAGGCCCACACAGAGTCCCATTTCTGAGGGATTTTTCAAACAAGAATGTTAATGCGACCAACACACCATGGCTAAGGTCTTTGCACTCTGATGGTATTTGTAAAGTGTTAAGTTCTTACAGGTGTAAAAACGTTCATGAATAAAAATCACCAACCACATTTACAAACAAAAGAGGCACCGGGGCTTCTCTGTGACCCAAACATAGTAAGAGTTCCTGTGACTTTTCTTGGATGTTTTTATTTTCACAGTACTAACTTCAGTAAACCTGTACAATGTACCCCCAAAACATACAGTTTATGAGTTTGATTCCCAGCACCCACACAAAAACCTGGGTGTGGTGACCAATCGATCTTAAAGTCTTCTTCCCCAAATGAAAGACATTTCTAAGTTAAAAACTGAACATAACAAAACATTCTACTTAATCTTTTGAAACATATAGATTACATCATTTGGTCAATGCAACTCAAGACATCACACACACACACACACACACACACACACACACACACACACATCTTACTGAGTAGTCTTTCTTGCTGTCAACACCTACGTTTAAATGTAAGCACATCTGTATTTTCCTTAACAACTAACTTATTCTGCAACTCTTTTCATCAGTCCACATTTCTTTTTTTTAACTTTTCAAGGAAATTTTATTACCATGATTGTTTTATTTTTTAAATTAGAAACAAGCTTGTTTTACATGTCAATCCCAGTTCCCTCTCCCTCCCTTCCTCCTCTGCACCCCACTAATCCCCTATCGCATCCCCTTTCTGCTCCCCAGGGAGGGTGAAGTCTTCCATGGGGGATCTTCAAAGTCTGTCACATCATTTGGAGCAGGGCCTAGGCCCTCCCCCGTGTGTCTAGGCTGAGAGAGTATCCCCTCTATGTGGAATGGGCTCCCAAAGTCCATTCATATGCTAGGGATAAATACTAATCTACTACCAGAGGCCCCATAGATTGCTGAGGCCTCCTCACTGGCACCCCACATTCAGGGGGTCTGGATCAGTCCTATGCTGGTTTCTCAGCTATCAGTCTGGGGACCATGAGCAACCCCTTGTTCAGGTCAGTTGTTTCTATGGGTTTCACCAGCCTGGTCTTGACCCCTTTGCTCATCACTCCTCCCTCTCTACAACTGGATTCCAGGAGTTCAGTTCAGTGTTTCGCTGTGGGTGTCTGCTTTTGCGTCCATCAGCTACTGGACGAAGGCTCTAGGAGGGCATATAAGGTAGTCATCAATCTCATTATAGGGGAAGGGCATTAAGGCAGCCTCTCCCCTATTGCTTAGATTGTTAGTTGGTGT